TCCTTCGCAATGTCAGGGTGGCTGACGGAGCGATAGATCTCTATGTCCTTGGGCTCTGGACTACCCAGGTCGATGCCACCAGAGAGGGACTTGATGCCTGGCGGCGACTGCTGGCTGACTGAAAATCCAGTCTCGGTGCTGAGGAGTCCAAAATCAATGGGACCCCTGGGAGAAAGAAAGCGACGAAAGCCTCCTGTTCCTACCTTTCCTGATCATCCAGCTCCTCTTCTGAACCTACTCACGCTGATCAGGCTGACCCCTGAACCCTTCCTGAGCTACATCTGTGCTCTGGGTCGGCTTACCGTGCGGGGGCGTGGGATCGACCACTTCATTGGACAAGCGCCGTCTCGAAATCGATGTTGATCAAGGTCCCAATCCCAATCTCTTGTCTTATCTGGCGCCCACAGGGGGACTGTAAACTCGAATCGCGAACGCACCGATCGGATCTAGAGGGCATCGAAAAGTAGCACGAGTTTCGAGGGTTGCCACGAGACTTCAAGACACCACATGTTCTCCCTGAGCAAAAGGACCAACAAAGCTTAGCCAATGCATTAGATAGAGGGCAACAAATCCTCCCCGATAGTAACCACCCAGACACGCGAAGCCGTTTAGTAAACGCGCCCAAAGAAGGAATCAAACAAGGCAGGGCTGTTTAGTAAACGCCCAAGGCCATTTAGTAAACGCCGATTGTCGGGTCCGGGTGGTGGTTCCCTCCCTTGATTAAAACTGTGTCAATGCCATGCTGCGCATGCCGTGCCGACGCCATGCTGCGCGCGTCGTGCCGACATCGCATACTGTCGTCCGCCATCTTCCCCGCCGCGCCCTTCGCGCCTCCCTCCTCTGAGCATCGCTTAACCTATCCCCATCCACACCAGCGTGGGCTGGGCCCCATTGGCCGATTTACCCCCCTGATGGGGATGTCGGCTGTTCTCTTCGGGTTTCGAGGGGAAGATCCAAAATGAGGTGGTGAGACGGCGGGGCTCCAGATGTGATTGGGGATGGGGATAGGGATCGCTTAAACGACACTGATCCTCCTACTTCCCCTTCCCGTCCTGCTCGGGGCGTGGCCCAGCACGTCAAGCCTCCGATCCTGGAGCCATGCCGCGCATGCCGCGTGGCGCTTGCCGTAGCGTGCGTGCCGCAGTATGGCCCTCCTCCTCCTCCTCCTCCTCCTCCTCCTCCTCCTCCTCCTCCTCCTCCTCCGCCTCCTGCTCATCCTCAAAGTCCTCCTCCTCCTCCTCCTCCTCCTCCTCCTCCTCCCCCTCATCATCCTCAACCTCCTCCTCCTCCTCATCATCCTCATCCTCCTCCCCCTCCTCCTCCTCGTCATCACCATCATCCTCATCATCATCACCATCATCACCATCAGCATCAGCACCATCATCATCACCACCATCATCAGCATCATCATCAGCATCATCATCATCACCACCACCACCAACATCATCATCACCAAAACCATCATCATCAGCATCATCATCAACATCATCAGGATCATCATCATCATTATCAACAGCAGCATCAGCAGCAGTATCATAATCATCATACATGGTATCAGCATCATCATCCGCAGCATCATCACCATCATCGTCATCGTCATCATCATCGTTGCCACCGTTGTCATCAGCATCCTCATCACCGTCACCATCATCACCATCCTCATAAACAGCGTCATCACCAGCAGCATCATCGTCATCATCATCAGCATCCTCATCAACGTCATCATCGCCATCATTATCATCAGTGTCGTCGTCGGAATCGTCATCGTCGTCATCGTGACCGTCACCGTCGTCATCGTCATCGTCAACGTCATCGTCATCGCAGTCGATGTCAGCAGATTCATTATCGTCGTCGCCATCGCTATCATCAGAGTGAGGGGGCCGAACGGTCATTCACTGTCCCTGGGTGCGTGGCTGAAGTGGGATTCCGCGGTGCGGATTATCGTTGTTGTTTGTTGTTGTTTGTTGTTTGTTGTCGTCGTCCCACCCGCAACCCGCCCCGCGACCCACCCGCGACCCACCCCGCGACCCACCCCGCGACCCACCCGCGACCCACCCGCGACCCACCCGCGACCCACCCCGCGACCCACCCCGCGACCCACCCCACGACCCACCCCGCGACCCACCCGCGACCCACCCGCGACCCACCCGCGACCCACCCCGCGACCCGCCCGCGGCCCACCCCGCGACCCACCCGCGTTCCACCCGCGACCCACCCGCGACCCACCCGCGACCCACCCGCGACCCACCCCGCGACCCACCCGCGACCCACCTTGGACCCAAACCACGTTCAAGGTACAAGCCAACATTTTCGGCGCCTGCGGCGGGCTTTTTTTGCATTCCTTCCAGGTAAAGAGCCCGCGACCCACCCCGCGACCAACTCGCGACCAACCCGCGACCCAAACCACGTTCAGGGTACAAACCACATTTTTCGGCGCCTGCGGCGGGCATCTTTTGCATTCGCTTCAGGTGGAGAGCCCGCGGCCCACCCGCGACCACGATCAGGGTACATACCAATTTTTTCGGCGCCTGCGGCGGGCATCTTTTGCATTCGTCCCCGGTGGAGAACCCGCGGCCCACCCGCGACCCATTCCACGTTCAGTGTACAAACCAAATTTTTCGGCGCCTGCGGCGGGCTGCTTTTGCATTCCTTCCAGGTGGAGGTGGAGAGCCCGCGACCCACCCGCGACCCAAACCACGTTCACTGAACAAACCAATGCCGCACAAGCGCAGCGGCGGATTTTTGCATGCCGTCTGAACCCGCAAGGACCTCTTCAAGCCCCGCGCATCCACACCAGCCCGTCCAGTAACTTTGCCCTGGCGAGTTGCCTTGATCAGAGAAGTCGGGGAGCATAAAGTGGAACAAAGGATTGCGTTGCAGTTATCTTGGGAAAGGAGGGGGAGGCAGGAGGAGTAAACAGGGGACGAGGAGAACGCGGAAGAAGAGAGGATGTAGAGAGGATGTAAGGAGAATGTGGAGAAAGAAAAGGAGGAGGAGCAGGAGGACGAGGAGGGGGAGGAGGGGGATGATGATGATGATGATGATGATGATGATGATGATGATGATGATGATGATGATGATGATGATGATGATGATGATGATGATGATGATGATGATGATGATGATGATGATGATGGACGACAATGGGAGGACGATGATGGAGGCCGATGAGGGGGAAGACGACAATGGGAGGACGATGATGGAAGGACGAGGGGGGGAGAGGGAGGACGAGGAAGAGGAGGAGGAGGAGGACGAGTTGGAGGAGGAGGAGGAGGATGACGATGACGACGAGGACGAGGACGAGGAAGAGGAGGAGAGGAGGAGGAGGAGGAGCAGGAGGAGGAGGCGGAGAAAAGCGCCATCGACAAGGAAGGTAGGGGCCACGAGGTCCGCCGGCTCGACGACGCCCGCGTCGCCCGCGCCCGCCCCCTCACTCTTATCCGCGATTGCGGGGTGCTACGTCATAAACGTCATCCTAGATCAGAATCATCGAACCTAATCGTCCTCCACACTTGCCTCACTCATCAGCCTCTCCCTCCTCCTCCTCCTCCTCATCCTCCTCCTCCTCCTCCTCCTCATCATCCCCCACCTCCTCCTCCTCCTCCTCCTCCTACTCCGTCACTGTTCCTCCTCGCCTTCCTCCTCCTCCTCCTCCTCTTCTCATCCTCCTCCTCCTCATCATCATCATCATCATCATCATCATCATCATCATCATCAGCATCATCATCCATCATCATCATCATCCTCATCCTCATCATCATCACATCATCATCATCATCATCATGCCTCATCAGCAATCATCCATCTCATCATCATCATCATCATTCAGCGTCATCATCATCCTCATCATTCCACCATTCATCATCATCATCATCATCATCATCATCATCATCATCATCATCATCACCATCACCATCACCATCACCATCACCATCATCATCATCATCATCATCATCATCATCATCATCAGCAGCATCATCATCCAATGTTCCTTTCCCGTCCCCCGTCTTCCTCCTCCTCCTCCACCTGCTACTCCTCAACCTCCACGTCCTCCTCCTCCTACTCCTCCTCCTCCCCATCCTCATCCTCATCCTCATCATCATCATCATCATCAAAACCATCATCAGCATCATCAGCATCATCATCATCATCATCATCATCATCATCATCATCATCATCATCATCATCATCGTCTTCGTCATCATCATCACCACCGTCATCGACGCCACCACCACCACCACCACCATCATCATCAGCAGCAGCAGCATCCTCATCCTCATCATCAGCAGCAGCATCAGCATCATCTGCATCCTCATCCTAATCATCAGCATCATCAGCATCATCAGCATCAGCATCAGCATCAGCAGCATCAGCAGCATCATCTGCAACATCAGTATCATCATCAGCATTCTCGTCATCGTCTTCAGCATCAGCATCATCATCAGCATCAGCAGCATCAGCATCAGCATCATCATCAGCATCAGCATAAGCAATATCATCAGCATCATCAACAGCATCATCATCGTTATTCTCAGCAGCATCATCAGCAGCATCAACATCAGCATCAGTATCATATCATCCGCAGCATCATCAGCAGCAGCATCATCCTCATCATCAGCATCAGCATCATCCTCATCATCAGCATCAGCATCGTCGTCGTCATCATCATCATCATCATCATCATCATCATCATCATCATCATCCTCATCCTCATCCTCATCCTCATCCTCATCATCATCATCATCATCATCATCATCATCATCATCATCATCATCATCAGCATCATCATCATCATCATCTCATCATCATCATCATCATCATCATCATCATCATCATCATCATCATCATCATCATCATCATCATCATCATCATCATCATCATCATCATCATCATCATCATCATCATCATCTTCCCTTCCTCCATCCACCCTTTTGGAGTATGGTTCGGAATCCGGCTGGCCTTCTGAGAGCTCGGTCGTGAAGCGGTCCAGGCTGGAGCGGAACTCCGTCGCCTGCAACAGGGCCGAAGGCGAGGGTGCGGAGAAGCACCAGCAGCAGCAACAACAGAGGTAAGAGGAGGGAGGGGGCGGAGGGGAGGGGGGGAGGCGGAAGGGACATGCGAAAAAAGAGGGGGGGTCCAAGAAGCCGTCTCGGACATCTGGACTGCTAGACTGACCGATAGACGACTGGCGCCTCCCAGGGCACACGGTGAACACCTCCTCGGCAGAGCCCGCAAGGCCAAGGCAGGAGCAGAGCAGAGGCAAGACAGGGGGCCAGAGGGTGGACGGGGGGAGGGGTGAGGGGGGACGGGGGACGAGGGGGGGGGAGGTGATCCTGGGGAGGTTGGCCGGGGGGGCATCGGGTGTGCTTCGGGGTCGGGCCGGGGCGGGGTCAGGTGCCCTAGCCCGGATGGGGGGGGCCGCGGGGACTTCCCGCCGGCTCGTTCATTTGGATCTCCATGAGTTGCGGCGTGTGGTATGGGGGGTGGTCTGGCCTGGGTTAGAGGCCACCGGGGCGGGGGTGTGTTTGCGGGGCCAGGAGGGATACGTTGGGCGGGGCTGGAGTGGAGGCAGCACGAATGTTTGAGTGGGTTGGGTGGTGCTGTTGTTGACGGACGCTCGGACGGGAGCGGGGGACGGCTTACTCCGGGGGGAGGGGGGGATCGGGCGTGTTAGGTCGTGGAGGAGTGCCTGGTGGCGTTGGGGTGGACGGAGGCGGGAGGGGCGGAGCGAGAGGGGGGTCGGGGGGACGGAGAAAGACGAGGAGGGACGGAAAAGGCAAATCCGGCAGCCGGACAGGAGATCGAGGCGGCGGCGGCAGGAGCCCCAGAGGCGTGGGAGGCAGGGGGCGTGCTGCAGGAGCCCCCGTCTGAGCATCACTGGCGTGGCCTGGGCCCCACTGGCCGACTTACCCCTCCAGGTGGGGATCGAGGCTGTGCCCCTCGAGCTTCGAGGAGCCCATCCCCAGCCGGGGTGGTGGCGTGGTGGGGCCGAGACACCGTGGCCCGGTGGGACGGGGACGGGCCAGACGAGGCTGACAACGCTCTGCTCGCACAACCCCCCCCGTCCCAGGCAAGGCGAGCCAGAGCTCCCAAGGGGGGGCGATTGGAACGGAGCCCGAGATCTGGCGGGCGACTGCCGCGCTTCGCGCTGCGCGAAGCGCGAAGCACGAATAGCTTCGCGCTCTCGCGCCGCCCGCCAGGGGCGAAGAGGAGGATGGGGAGGAATCGGAGACGAAGCGCGAAGCGCGAAGCGCGAATGGCTTCGCGCCCTCGAGGGCGCCCTTGCAAAAACTGCATAGGGATGCAGTTTCGAAGGTCCGCACGGATTTCTTGCATCCGCGCTGGGCCCCCCTCCCTGGCGCGGGCGCCGCAAAAAGGGCGCCGGAGGCGCAGATCCAAGAGACCCGCACGGACCTCAGAGAGTTATCGGTTGCTATTTCGGGGGCGACGATGGAGGCGACGACTTCGGGGAGAGCAATGCATGCATCCAGTGGCGCCGATGGTCCATGCCTTCGGCGAGGCTCCCCGGCGAAGACGTGCAATGCCCCGCTATGGTGCAGCACCAAGCCGACATGGGCGAGGGGGAGCACAAGAACACGCCCGCTGATGCCACAGGTGAAGCTCCTCCTCCTCCTCCTCCTCCTCCTCCTCCTCCTCCTCCTCCTCCTCCTCCTCCTCCTCCTCCTCCTGATGCCGCAGGCGAAGCACCCTGCGGGGCACGATCTGCCTGAAGGGGTGCGCCGAGAGGGGCGAGGGGGGCCCAGGCGCGCGGGCCCACTGAGGCCGCCGAGGGGTTCTCCTGTGGGGCAGACTCCGTCTGAGGGGTGATCCGAAGTGGGCGAGGGGTCGCCTCCACTTGTTTTATGTTGGGCATGTCCTCCTACAGGCGGATTGTGAAGAAAAAATTGTTAACAAAAATCCCCCCCCCAAAAAAAAATCCTCCTGCAGAGGGACGTGCCCGACTTAACGGCAGGAGCGCGCTGCCCTCCCCGTGCCTCGCGCCGGCGCCGGGTGCCCGACTCCGAGCGCTGGAGCGGCACCCCCCCCGCGCGCGCGCGCGGCGCCGTGCGCGCCCGCCCGCCCGCCCGCAGGCGCCGCGGCTTCGAGAGGAGCGGTCGCGAGACTGCGAGGAGCTCTCTACTCCGAGGCAGCACAGAGCGGCACGAACAGACATTTTCGCACGGTCTCTGGGATCGGCGCTGGACCTTGCCTTGACCATTCTTGCGCCCAGTATGTTGCACCGGGCTGTTGTGCACTGCATCTTTGCTGCCGCTCTGGTGCCCCCCCCCCCCGGGGCGGCTCAGGTTTATGCCGTTTCTTGTTCCTCGACTGCTGGGAGCACCTCGGTGCGGGGCTCCGGCTGCTGAGACGCCGCGCGAGCTTCCCTCTCGGAGAGGAGAATCCCAAAAAGAGAACGTGTGCATTCCGCAGACATGGAGGTTGACAGGGCTGAAAGACACAGTCTAGGGGTGGCACGAGCCCGAATCAATCGAGATGCAGACTGGCCGAACACGCATAGGGGAGCAAGAATATACCGATACAGCTACTCCCCGAAATTATCCCCGGATACGTTCTGACCAGGGTTCTGAGGCAAATTCAGCCATAGCGACGAGGGCTTCCCAGGAACAGGAAGGTGGGAAGAGCATCGATATCGGTATGTCTTTCTCCTCTGAGGGAAATGAAAGACTGGACCAGCCGCTCCATCCAGCCTCTCTGCATTACGCACCCCTCTCCGCGCCTGCGCGCTGCGCTGGCCCGCGCGGCCCGTCACGGCAAATGGCGGGGCAGCGCTCCGTCTGTGCGGACGGATCAAGGGATATAGAAATCGTGCAAGTCAACAGGGGGAGTCCGAGGTTCGAGCCGACACGGAGCTTGATTCAGAACGGATCCAGAATCTCGTGCTACTCCTGCTCCCATTCTTCCTCCCACTCCTGCACATCCCGCCACTCAGCAACCTGATCCTCGTCCTCTTCATTAGTGTTGCTAAATTCGCTGTTGTCGCTGGCTGCGGCAACAACTACTATTACCGCTGCGATGCTGGTTCTCCGCGTCCTGTGCTCAGCAAGCGCGGGGGGCTCGCAGACCTGCTCAGAGTCGCAGCTAGCCCAATCGATGCTCCCCGGGTGAGTGACGAGCGGGCGGAAGACGTCCATGAGCCTTCCCTGTCCCCCTTTCCCCCTCACCACAATCGTCCTCCTCCTCATCAGATCCGTAATCCTATCGCAGCTCATCCCGCACCTCCCCCTCGTCCTCCTCCACGTCCTCGTCCTCGTCCTCCTCCTCCTCCTCCTCCTCCTCCCCCTCCTCATCCTCCTCCTACTCCTCCACCTCCTCCTCATCATCAGCAGCAGCAGTTTCTTCTTATTACTACGATTAGTATGATGCATATCTTTATTATTCTTATTACTAGTATTATTAGCATTTACATGACTAGTATTCACCATAGTAGTAGCATCGTTAGTGTTATTATTAATGGTGTTATTACAATTGTTTTCCTCTGGTGAAAATTCAGGTTATTAGTATTAGTCTTATTCGTAGTATTACCATTAATGTTATTATGTTTGGTATTGTTAGTACGAGTATTCTTCATGTTAGTAGTACGACTATTATCATGTCTAATATGCTTAATAGTGCGATTCATATTAGTAGTACGAGTATTAGCAGTATTACTGGTCGTCGTGATAGTATACATATTATAATCAGTATTGGTATTAGTCTTACGATTGGTAGTAACATTCGTCTGCTTCGTATTATTAGTATTCGTATGATTTCTCTTGTTTCTCTTATGATTAGTACTCGTCCGTCTGATTATTATCATTGCTTTCCTTCTCCTTAGCATTACTGTCATTAGTATCTGTATTGTTCTCATTCATCGTATGATTGTTCTCCTTCATGATCGACATCGTCATCGTCATCATCGTTTTCATCCTCGTCATCCATATCGTCATCGTCCTCGTCCTCATCATCATCCTGGCCATCATCATTATGATCATCAGCAGCAGCAGCAGGCAGCAGGTGCCGTAGGCGTAGCTGTCAGAGCCGCGAGAGTCATGAGCGCATGCGCCGCAGCCGTATGCATTACTGCCGTAGCCGACAGTGCTGTTGTCGTTGGCGCCAGAGTCCCAGGGGACGCAGGTGCGGTAGCCAAAGCCGCGGGCACCGCCGCGCTGAGGCGCCGGACCCGAAAGAGTCGCATGTACCTGGATTTATCTGGCTCGATCCCCACAAGTCGATTGGCGAAGGGTCGACAAGCCCTCAGGGAGAGGAAGGATCACGAGCCGCGAACATGTCCGTATCCGTGCCCTCGCGGTCGGGGCGCGACCCCGCGGAGACGCGGTCGCACGGGCACGCTCCGCGCGGGCCATCCACGAGAAGGCATCCCGTATCCGCGGGGTCGCGGCCCGAGGGCCAGGCCCGCGAGGCCGCGGAGATGGACATGTCTGTGGCCCACGAGGGAAGGAGGCAGCAAGCAGGAGGCGAGTCGGAGAGGGGGGGGAGGAGCCAACGAGGGAGGCTACCTGTGAGACCGCTCGCTGCGCCGACCCTGCAGACGTGCTGCAGCGGATTTTTGCGTGGGTTTCTGCCAGAGCAAAACCCCGAAACGGCTAGAGAAGAACAAAGTGAATTTCACGTGGATTTGTTGTAGGTCCTGGCCGCAAAAAATCCGCACGAAATTCGCTTCGAAATCCGGAGCGAAATTCTCCAAGACAATCCATGCCCATCCCAATGTTTTCTGAACGAAATCCACTCTTCGATGTTGGCGCCATGATGCGACCGCGCGTTCTCTCGAACGCACGAAGAACTGGTCGCGCCCGCGGCAAAGACCCTCGCAAGCCTGCGCCCGCCGATCTTCCAACGCATCCGTATATCCTACCGCGTGCCCCCACTCACTGCTTCGAGGACGAAGGGGAGGACGAGGGCGAGGATGGGGAGCGGGAGGGGGAGCGGGAATCGGGGAAAGAAGAATGACATATACATAACTCGGAGGTCCGCGCGGATTTCGTGGATCCGCGCTGGGACCCCCTTGGCGGCGCCTCCGGCGCCGCCCCTGGCGCGCTGCGCGCGCCGGGAAGGGGGGTCCAGCGCGGATCCGAGAAATCCGCGCGGACCTCCGAGTTTTTATGTTTATGTCATCCTTCGATCCCATAGGTGTACGTCATGCTTATTATGTCCCAGTTTTTTTATGATTATTGAATTCCTTCGTTCCCCTGGGCGTATCCTTCGTTCCAAGTTTTTCATGTTTATGCCAAGTAGGGGCGGCGGGAGGGGGTGGGATGATGCGACGCGGGGCCCTGCGCTGACGCGTGCTCCCGAGGCGGCGGGCGGCCCACGGCGAGTGGCGCGGAGGGAGGGGGAGCCGAGCTGTTTTTGGCAGGGAGGGGCAGGGAGGAGTTGCAGGAGGAGGAGGAGGAGTCATCCTCCTCCTCCTCCTCCTCCTCCTCCTCCTCCTCCTCCTCCTCTTCTTCGTATCATTTTCTTGTTATCATTATTTTGCATATGAAAATTCTGATTATCCTTCTTAGCATTATTCTTCTTCGTTTTCTTCTTATTAGTATGATTATGATTCTTACTCCTCCTCCTCCTCGAGGAGGAGGAGGAAGAGGAGGAGGAGGAGGAGGAGGAGGAGGAGGAGGAGCATCGGGGCCCGAGAGGGGGCCGCCGACCTGCCCGGCCCCGCCCGGTGTTCAGGCTCTCCAGGGGCGACGCCGCCATCTCGCCGAAGAGGAGCTCTCCTGCCCAGCGCCCATGGCAAGCCCGCCTCGCGCCTTGCTGTATGGGCCCCTTTGTCGGCGATGAGTGGGCGATTGGGGACCCCATATCGGCGATGAGTGGGCGATTGGGGACCGATGCGCCCCGCCCCAGGAGCCTATCCCTCCCCTGACATTGCCCCTGACTGCCCCCCCCCCATCGTCCCTACCCCCCGAGGCAGCTCTCCTCCTCGACCGTACCCATGGAGGGCAGAAGAACCACCCTCAGAGCAGGCACCACGACCAGCGAAGCCGCTTAGTAGTGGGCGCACCCAAGGGAGGAATCGCACAGGGCAGGGCTGTTCTGCAAACGCATAGGATTTTTCAGTCAACGCCATTTTCTCTCGCGAACCCATGCCCCAGGCACCGAAGCGCGCTGCTGTAGCGCACCTGACAACGTTACACGTTGTACGACCTCCTGCCCCCAGCCTCAAGGAGCAGGCCACCGTATGCGTCGCCTGGGGCATGTTTGCGCACGTTGCGGACTCTTATCGCCCGCCGTGGTCGCGGAATTACCTAAGCATTGCCAGCAGTGTACAGGTTGCAATACATGCGGACGGGGCGACACTCGAAGATGGGCACGCGTGTCGCAATGCCGCTGCCCATGACCGCGATTCGCCGAACTCCGTTTATCTTAAGGTCCGCGAAAACCTAATGCAATCTCCCACGCGTATCGCGCAATGCCGTGCTTGAAAGCAAGAGATGATGGTGGATCTGGTATAATATGAAGAAATATTCATCGACCACCGCTCTTGAAGCAAAAAGGTGTCCCCGTTGCGTGGCCGAGTAGTTAGGCAGCAGCCGCCGCCTGCAATGTTCGGTCACGCACTCTACAGCTTGAAACGTCCTGGCAAATGCCCTCGATTGGTGTGTTCCAAATTTTCAAATGCCTGCGTCAACAACCGTCCGGGCATGTTTCCCCCAAGTTGTCGCAACAAATTGTTCTGACACACCTGCAATGCACGCTCCGGGGTTCTACGCCTGCATCAGCCTACAATTCGCTAGCTGTCGCACTACGCCCTTGATTCCACGAGCAGTGTTTGCACGAAAGACGTCCTACCTTCGTTCAAATGAGCTGGATCTGAATACCATGCATGCTGCCGCCGTTGCCGCCGTGGGGCCTTCGGCACTGCGCATGTCTCGCGCTCTCCAGCGGCCCAGATTGCCGCTCGTCGCCGACCTTGCCGCCGCCTCCGTCGCGCACGGCCCCGTGGATTCCCCACACCTCGTGCACCCCATGGCCCTCGCTGCCGCAGGTCGCCACCGCAGCCGCCACGCGGGGCCCTGGGCAGCCTCCACACCCTAGGGCCCCCCACTGGACTTCACTGCCGCGTTTTTTTTGCCGCCGCCGCCGCACGCGGGGCCAAGTCGGCGCTTCCCACGCTTTTGGCGACCCCCGCTGGCCCTGACTGCCGCACGTCGTCGCCGTCGCCGCCGCCGCGGGGGCCCGAAGCACTCCCCACAAGTCATTTCGCGCCCTCCAGTGGCCCTGCGCACTCTTGCACACACTGACTGCACCCGCACAGGTTGCACCCCCGTACTTTGCGCAGGCTGCCCCGTCTGAGTTCCACGCGCCGGTATTATGGTGCCCCCGCGCGTTTCTATGTGATGTTTAGTCGTCCCAGGGCGTCTGCGAATGATCCTCGACGAGGTCCTGAATCCAAGAATTCTCTCCAAGAGTTCTCCCTTGGCTCATGCCCTGCCCCTTGCCGAGCCGCTTCCCCCTAACCCCCGGCAACGCGCTCTTCCCACGCCACGCGCCGGCCCTCCCCCTTTCTTCCCCACGACGTTCGCATATGCACATGTATATGCATAGATGTGTATATATATATATATATATATATATAGGAGGTTGTGGGGGTGAGATCGAAGTGGAACGGAGAGCCCCCCACCGGGAAAACGGTTTCGGTTTCGTGTTCGTGTCGTGCGCGCGGGCGAGGCGAAGCTGCGTGCGCGGGCGAGAGGAACTCATTCTGCTGTCGCTAGTGCTTCGCCAACATAAATGTTTCCCCCGCCGGCGCGTGTCAAGCGGTGGCCAGCATTGTCCCGTCGGTTGCCCGCCGTTGTCCTGTCTGTCGCTAGTGGTTCGCCAACATAAATGCTTCCCCCGCCCGCGCGTGTCAAGCGGTGGCCCGCATTGTCCCGTCGGTTGCCCGCCGTTGTCCTGTCTGTCGCTAGTGGTTCGCCAACATAAATGTTTCCCCCGCCGGCGCGTGTCAAGCGGTGGCCCGCATTGTCCCGTCGGTCGCCCGCCGTTGTCCTGTCTGTCGCTAGTGGTTCGCCAACAGAAATGTTTCCCCCGCCGGCGCGTGTCAAGCGGTAGCCCGCATAGTCCCGTCGGTCGCCCGCCGTTGTCCTGTCGTGAGATCGATAGTGAGATCGATAGTGAGATCGATCGTGTAATTGATAGTGACACCGAAAGTGAGATCGATAGTGAGACCGAATGTGAGACCGAATGTTTGATCGATCGTGAGATAGATAGTGAGATCGATAGTGAGATCGATCGTGAAATTGATAGTGGCACCGAAAGTGAGATCGATTGTGAGATCGAATGTGAGATCGATAGTGGGATCGATGGTGAAATCGGTTGTGAGATCGATTGTGAGATCGATAGTTAGATCGACTGTGAGATCGATAGTGAGACCGATTATGAGATCGATTGAAAGATCGAGCCCGCATTGTCCCGTCGGTGGCCCGTCGGTGTCCTGTCGTGAGATCGATAGTGAGATCGATCGTGAGACCGATAGTGAGATCGATAGTGACATCGATAGTGAGATCGATAGTGAGACCGAATGTGAGATCGGTTGTGGCATCGATTGTGATATCGATTGAGATCGATAGTGAGACCGAATGTGAGATCGATAGTGAGATCGATAGAGAGACATATTGTGAGATCTATAGTCTGATAGTGGGATCGATAGTGAGATCGATGGTGAGATCGATAGTGACATCGATTGTGAGACCGAATGTGAGACCGAATGTTGGATCGATAGTGAGATCGATAGTGAGATCGATAGTGAGATCGATCGTGAAATCATCATTGTCCCGCCAGTTGCCCATGATGGTTGCCCATCATGGTTGTTCATCACGGTTGCTCATCATTGTCCCGCAGGTTGCTGATCATGGTTGCTCAGCATCACATTCACCACAGTTGTCGTCATCCACACCATCATCGGCCATCAGCACCATATTCACCACAGTTGTCGTCATGAGCCACCCCCCTCCCACCCACCCACCCCACAACCTCCTTATCACCCGCAGGGTGGTCGTATAGGTGTGTGTGTGTATATATATACGTGTATGCGTGTGTGTGTATCTCTCGCTCTCTCTCTCTCTCTCTCTCTCCCTTGCCCACTGCCCTCGCGCCCGCACACCCTCCCCTTCTCCTCCCCCGCCGCGTCGGCGTCGTCGTCGCCGCAGCTGTGGCCGCTGCCCCCACTGGCAACACCGCGCTCCTCGCCGCTGCCCCTCCCATTCGTCGCCCTCGTCCGCCCACTTCCCGGCCAGTCCCTCCCCGGAGCGAGCGCAGCATCCGGCCGACATCAAGCGAGAGCGACTGCTGGTCGGAACGTTCAGCGGAGCGCAAGGCGAACGACGGTGCGGACGACGTGAAACTCGTCCGCCTCCGAGCGACGCACGGAGGCTGGCTGCGCCTTCTTCGTCTCGTGCGTAGCACAGGTTAGACAACCTCCTGTTCAGCCTCCGCAGCCGCTGAAAACGCTAAATTAGTCTTTGTTCCTTCGATTCGCTAAACAATGCCTGCACTTAGGGACTCTCACATCTTGCCGAGGAACTGGGCCTGTCTGGCGGTCTGGCGGCTATGTAACCGCCGTCGCCGCCCCGTCGCCGCCTCGTCGAAGCAAACGAGCTGGGCAATGCAGCGCAGGTATCGCCTCGCCGCAAAGTCCAGATCAAGCCACCAGCGCACCTTCAACGGGGACTCCACTAACTGGTACTTTGGCCAGTGGCCCCCGATGTGGGCAACGCTGCAATTTTCAGAAAGAAGCCCACAAGTGGCAACTTTCGGCAAATCTCCTGAGTACCCGTTAGCGAATACCCGTTACAATGTCGCTGAAGCCGAGCGTATGAACTACCACCTGGTCCAGCAGATAAAACTATTTCACGGGCACGCAGCCTTTGCAGAGGGCGCATGCGCGCAGGCACTCCCTGACCATGCAAGCCCACGAAAGGACGCGCGGGGGAAGCGCCGCCGCTCGCCTTGCACCAGGACGGTAGGAAGGCAAAGGGAGGG